TATTTAATATTATTTCTTAAACATTTACATAATAGAGTTGAGGTAAGAAGCGTATTGCATAGTGAGATGCTCATAAAAGTAACGTTAAAGATGGTAACCAATTACGTTGAAGCACAGGTTAAAGCTAATGGAAAGTATATAGTTATATCAGTTTATTGGTCATTCGGTTGCTATGATACCACAGCATTTTAGATGGGAATAAAAAGGGAAAACATTACAACATCTGTACATAATTGCATGAAAAATTATGCAGTTTTGCCATTGACCGACTCGTCGGTTATGCAATCCATTGTGGCGGTTACCGACAATTACTATTCACGATTATTTTGAACCTCGCAATTGTTGCGACACGTTGTTATTATAGCCACGTTAGTTCTACTCACAATGGGAAGATTGCGTCGATACAGCTATTGATGATTATATGTGACAGTAAATATAATAAACAAATAGTTTGAAAGCGATTCCGGAAAAACTTTTTTTGGGTTCTTTTTGTATTTAAAAAATCCCGTGTCGTGTAACTAATAGGCTTTGAATTAAATATTTATGTTGTGCTTTTTCTGTACTTAGATTGAAATGTCCCAAGGGTATCTACGTCTCTTTGACAAATATCGTGTAAGCTCGAATTCACCCGATATCACCGATAGTCTAGGTATAATGCAAACACTCCATTTGCCCGAGAACTTGATCCATCATTCGCAAAAGGTATATTTTTACGTTCAACTCCCGAGAGTCAAGTAAATGTTCGCGATTGACATTTGAGCCAGCGGAGCACGACTCCCGTTCTCTAGCAAAACGAATACAACGGTAGAGAAAATAAAAATCGGACAAGTGCGAGTCGGAATCGCACACGAAGGGTTCTGTACCATCGTACGTGATTGAACGCTGTAATATGTTTTCATTATATCTATTAACTTTTTTCCTTAACGCTCTCTATGTGTTTTTATCGACGGTCAAGTTTCCTGATCCAAAATCTTGGCTATTGGCAGCGCGCAACAGTGAGAATGAAAGGTGGGAATAATCATAATGTTTATTTTTTGTATTTTATAAAGCGGCAAAAGAAGTTCCCATTCTGCGAAAATGTCAACTGTCTGTCGATTCATAAGATTGGCCTCTACATACCACTAACAGATGGACGAGTGGGCAGCAGTAGGGTTTCTTTGGCACCCTTTGTGTACGGAACCCTAAAAACAAGTCATTCTCGTAAAAGAATATTGAAATCTGCTTAGTGCTGGTTCTTGGCCGTAAGTTAATGCATTTATTGTTGGTTGGCAATAAATAAATTACATTTCCTGCCCCAAACGTCTGATTATTATAAAATGGTTTGTCAGAAACAGGAGCCGCTGTCATACGCCATTCCGATTTCCCGGGAAGTTTGTCATTTAATGTTACCCATAACACCTAGTAAGTTTTACAAAATACAGACATGACATTTACCATTTTAATATTAAATTCAATGGAAACCACAGCCTTGATAAATACTCTCGTTTCCAGAAAATGGGTAGAAAAGTTTCACTAAATGAAATCTTCTTTCGCAGCCTATGAAATGTGAAAGTTGGGGTTTCATAGCTTATTACAGTAGACAGCACATCGTATTTTTAAAAATATTTATTGCAACTGCGTAAGATGTCACAGTGCCAATGTCTTTGTACACATTTAAATAATGTATACTTATTATAATTATCTAATGATTACCTACCTATAGTAAGCATATCTATACTATACCTACCTACCTAAATTGTCTGCTTAGAATGAAGAGAAGTAGACAAGCAATCAATCAAAAAATCAAATCAAATCAAGCAATCATGACGTTTACGTAACTTAGGCTGGGTTGAACCATCTTACTTTAACTGTGACAAATATCAAAAATCTGTCAAACTCCATACAAAACACACCTGTCATCGTTATAGTTACTGTTAAAGTTAGGTGGTGCAAATCAGGCTTAGTAGGTAGCACAAATTGTTTACTAGGTATTGGTTTTGAGTTTCAATGCAATGTTTAAAGACCCTAATTAAACATTTCCTTAACTTTTGAAGATATCCCAAATACTAATAATTGGAATTGTTGAAGCTTACAACCAACAGTTTCTGCGGAACGAAGTTTGAATGAACTTGAACTGATTAATTAATTTTGGTAATAGGACTTGACAGATTTCATTTTCGGAAGCGAACATTATTGAGTTAAGATTTTAGTAGAAATAGACGTGTTGCTTTCGACAGGAACACTTTTTTTGGCATTTTTCTTTTTATTTATTGCCGTATAATATGCGACCAGCACCAATAAAAGTCTACTAAAAACAGGGCGAGAAAATGCGTGGTTTTCCATCGAAAATAAAATCTGATCATTATCTGCCACATATCTGAAATCATCATTATTTTGCTCAAATGAATTCCATTCATTACAAATATGAATGGATGAAATTCACTGGGATAAAACAAAGCCATTTCACGTAACGTCGAGACGGCGGATCCACAATGGGAATGACGGCTCATCAAAGAGTCGGCGAAAAGACGTCACGCTCCTTATCCCAAAAGACTGACCGACTTTTGAGTTTAATATAATTTTATAGCCATTCACAAGATCTACGAATATTAATTACGTTTCCATAAAGTACTTAACGAGTGTGAGTCAGGTCAGAGTGCAACTAGAATCTGCGCGAACCGTGTGGAGCTTGAATGAGCGACTTTCAGCTAACTCCTAGGGCTGTGCCAAGCAGGTAGCAGTATTTGTGACTGAAGTTTGTGATTTATAACTAAGACTTTTCTAGCTATTTTACATAGGTATTAAAATATTATGGTTAATTTTAGTTAGTGTACGTAAATGATAGCGTAGTGTTTCCACCTTTTCTGAAGGTAGGACACAAAATCTCATAAGCTAAAATTAACATAAAAGTTAGATACCTACAATAAACAAGAATGCATCGAGTTTGCGATCAAGTGACGTTATACGTTTGTGTTGCCATCCTATACAATATCTAGGTAAGTAGTAGCGTATTGACAACTCATAAAATGGTGTCAACTAGAACGGCGTCAACCCTACTGCATACATGCCAACAATGTTATCGGTGCGTAAACTCGCATGTGCAGGGGTTTGTTAATAGTATGCCACCAGCGGGCGATGTGTAGTTTGGTCGCTTCTGAACACCGTGTTTTACCCATTTTTGCGTGATTGGGAAGAACTTTATACTAGAAAGAATTTAAGGCACCACCTAACTTTAACGGTAAATATACCGATAACCGGTGATTTTTGTATGGAGTTTGAGAGATTTTTGACGTTTGTTAAAGTTAAAGTAAGATATTACAACCCAGCCTTAATTTAGTGAACGTCTTAAGTATATTTTGTTATTTTTCTCTGCTTTTTGGTTTGTTATAATAATTCTTTCCCAACAAATCCTTTCAATAACCATCTGCTTGTTAATGTTACACTTCAACGCGTTATCCTCAATTTTGCATAAGCGGATTACTTTAATTTCCCTGAGTGTTCCTTAAAAGCGAGACAATTTGGACAAATCGCTTTCTTTTCCGCCTCCGCCAACAGTCTGATTGTGCAACAATTACTTACTTGTTTTCTTTTCATCAAATAAGGCTTATTTTCTTTCCCGGTAATAAATGAGATATTTAAAAAAAATAGCAGCAGGTAAGGTTAGCTTTTTTTTTATTTGGTTGCAAATAAAATAATTGCTCTTTTTTATCATTAGTAGCTGACCCGACGGCGGCAATGTTAGTGTAGAAATTGAAGGATTATAATCTCCTCTAACCTCTAATATAAAACTTTTGAATGTTGAAAAGGAGATTAAATATATAAAAAACTCAAAGTGGCTTACAATTTGATGTTCAAATAAATATTTTAATCGGTATGGAAAATTTATGGGTTTTAATTTAACTTTAATCTGGATTATTTTATCTTTACAGCTGTATGTTTTCGCCTTAAAGAAGATTATTCTAAAGTCAAAGAGAGCTCAAAAAAAGTAGTAAGAAATGCATATAAATAAAAAATTGGGCATGGATATAGAATAGGAAACTTAAAAATTGGTCAATTTAAGCTCATTCGAAGCACTCTTTCTCAAAAGAGTTTATTTGTAAGCCCGATAAAAAGTAGCTTAAGGTCCTAAAACAACCTAAGCTTTTTGACAAACTTGAAACGAATCTTGGGATGTGTGTAATATGAAACTTCACCGAAATCCCTTGATTTTATGTCATTTTCAATGCCAAAATAGTAATATCTTGTTATATTAGTAGCATCACGAACATCTAATGAGATCAGTAGTTCTATGCTTCTGAGAATAAACTTCGTACCTTTGAATAATTTATAAGTATAGGTCAAAGAAACCACAAAAGGTTTTCAACTATAACTGCAATCCAAACTGGTTGGTGGGTTTTTCTCTTTTTCCGAATTACATGAGCCCTGACTGATTACTTTCGAAGTAGTACTGGTACTTGTTGAACAAGTTTGTAAAGATCACACTATGTTATTTTGTTACTTTTAACTCCAAAATGTTATCTTGCCTACTTTTTAATAAGTTGCATTGCTAAACATTTACCTTCATCAAGTAAGCAGCTGTCTCATTAAACCAAACCTTAGTATTCGTTATTTCAAGGACAACTTACTGTCTACTATTATATTGGTCAAAGTCCAAAATGTATTTGTATTAAAGTGTCTATTAGAAATTTAAATTTCATCAGCCGTTTTATCTAAAATTATTACTTAACAATTTTTAACATGCAAAGCAGTCTTGTAAAAGTGACAGCGGTAATTTTAATGTTAGGGAAATGCCACAGCCAATAAAAAATGCTCTTTCATCAGCAAATAATGTAATAGTTGCATCAAGATTTTTTTTTTAAAGTTATGAAGTACCTACTTCGCATCTAAACAGACTGATCAACTGGTAAGCAACGAAAAAATTAATTATCATAGCTCAAGGCGAAAGAACTGAAAGCAAATAGTAATTCTAGAGAATATTACAAAATAAAAGAGAAATATGCTTATGAAATAAAATTACTCACCGCATAGCATTGTGACACTAGTGCCGTCGTTAATATAAATGCTGCGAACTGCCTCATTTTGTCTGTAAAGAGAAAAAAATGCTAAATTAATGTTTGTTTATTTTTCACTTTACTTATTTTGTTATAGTGAGACAAAGATGTAAGTAAGTACAAGGTAATTTTGAATTTTGTGTTAAAATCTGGACATTTGGTACAATAAAGGGTGGCATCTATTATTTATTATCCGTAAAGTTTGTTTCTTGACGAAACTCGAGCTAGAATAAATTGATTTTAGAATCAATTTGACCCTAAATATGCCTTTAATGAATGTAATCTGAACAGCAATTTGCAGATTCTCCCATTAAAAATAACTCAAAGATATTTAATACACGGGATTGCGTGCAAGATAATAAAACCATTTACGTTGTTAGATTTTGTTAATTAAATCTAAACCCAAGGAGTAAAACTCGTTTATAGCGTTGGCTTTACAACGGAAAACCTGATTAGTTTTTCAGCTTGATTTATAAACAGAAACTGAGGGAATTTGATTTTAATTTTATTATTAACCAGACATTGTTTTCATTTAATCACCGTGAAAACACTTTTACCCTTACAAGACTTAGAAATATTTTTTAATTAAAAGTTGCATTTATCCATTATAATTAGTACTAATGTTATTGGACCATGATACTGAAAAAATACTCCCTAAGACTTTATCTTAGGTTATGAAACAAAAACACAAAAAAGGATTTTTTCGTACGATTTTTTAACAAAAATAAAAAAACCGGTGTTTTATAAACTTGCCGCTACTCTACAATCACGAGTAGGTTAGGTATCATTAAAATCACACCGCGGAGGAAGCGAATATCTCATAATGTGCCATACATTATTCATTCAAGCAACCACAGTACGTGGAAGAAATTTTTAATGCCTAATGCATGCTTTTTTTATTAAGGAAATAAAATATTAAGATGATACTTCTGGTGGCTTTTAAAGCATTCTCGTATTTAGACAACAAAGCAAACATTCATTTGAGAACTGTTAGAGTAAATTTTTATCAAATCCACCTTCAGATTAAATTCGAAAGAACTTGAATATTACAGAAACTACAATTTTATAAATAGAAGATATTTAATATGGGTTTACTCGTGTATTGAGTTTCGTAGCCGTTTTTACAGAGATATTTATTTTGTTTTTAAGTGCGGTAAAAGCATTTGAAGAGAATGAAAACAAAATAATAGTAAAGTAGGTATTTTGTTTCAATAATGAACTCACCGAAATGTTTTGGTTAAAACTTATTTCCTCAGACGTGTTCTCAAGTGAGTGAAGTCACTCGTATTGTGCTTGTATGAGAGTTCAGTGCGGTCTTAAATTCTCTCAAACAGTATTTAAAAGGTATTTCAGGCAACCCGCATTGTCTAAACTTCCCATGTATTTGGGCAACGGAATGTTATAGACATGTAGGTACATATTTTGTCTATCAGTCCATGCGGTTATTGTGTGTAAGATTTTATTTGGATGAAGTTCTCAGTATTAATGTTTTCCGAGTAAAATTGCTGTTTTAAATATTTTTTGTGTGCGTATTTTTTGGTGCTACTCCAACGTTTTTGCATTCATTACATCAGTTGAGGCAAAAAATATCATAGCTATCATTGTTAATTGTGAAGTTTGCATTTTTACTCTTCATTTTTGGAGGAAGGATTTAAAATTTATTATAAGATATTTTTCATTAAAATCCAGGTACTACCTAGTGGGTGGGTAGAGTAAGATTTTGCACCAATAACAGATTGCCTCTTTGTACTGCCGTCAGCTCCAACTTTTAGATACAATAAATTGTTTAGGATGTCATTGAGAGGTAATTTGCAATAGCAGAATACATTATATGGTTAATTGTCTAGATTAGATAATTACTGTTGTAATGCGAGTATAACAATAAAATTAGCTACGTAGTAATAATAAAATAACAATAATAAAGACCTTATAGCTTATTACATTGGAAAAAAATCTCATTATAGATATTATCAACTTTCTTTCCTCATTTCTATTAATTCATTGCTGTATCCATAGGGATGATCTAAAACATCTATTAGGTACGATATAATTAAAGTTTATATTTTTCCGGGTAGATACTGAAATATTCCGTGATTCAAAAAAATATTAAAGATTTTTGGGAAAGACACCTGTGAACTAGGTCATCGTCCAGCAGATATTATTAATTTTACATAAAAGTAACAGGTTCTGACGTATAATTAATAGATACTTAATCTGACTGGTTTCATTTGAAGACCCAGTTCATAGTTCGAAGTCGAAAATGGAAATTATTTAAAATTAATGTGGCAGCAGTATGTAACAATATTGATGGATTTTCCCGTCACGAATTTTAAATTAACAATTCGTTTTTATATCTAAAAAGAGGATATAAATGGATGTTTTGACCTCCCCGTCTTACGACACGCAGCATGGACGAGCACGGCCGCAATGCACTTTGGCGTTTTGAAGCAACATCCTAGTAAATTGCGTAGTTTCAACATGTTGGTCAATGTTTTGGTATAAATCTATAAAGGTGAAGAGTTTGTTTGTTTGGACGCGCTAACCTCAGGAACTACCTACTAGTCCGATTTGAAAAGTTATTTTTTGTTGGATAGCGCATTTATCGAGGTTTTAGGATATATAGCATCACTCAACAGCCAATTAGGGCGGAGCAGTAAAGAAAAATGTTGCAAAACCGGGAAGTATTCAAACTATTTTCACGCGAACGAAGTCGCGAGCATAGCTAATCGTTGTTATAATAACGACGGACGTGTTGTGTGGTTTGTGTACCGGACTAAGTTAGGGGTCGAGCGATTGATACCCTTTAATACAAACATGAATATGTTTGTTTTGGTCAGGGTGTTTTGTAAAAACATAATATTTACAGCAAACTTGGGCTTAGATGGAGCCTTGTAAAAATTTCCAAGGATGTAAGCCTTACATCCAACACTGTAAGGGATATTTTAAACAGTAATATCCTTAAGACTAGTAGCTCTACACATTTAAATACCTTATTAAACACCTTAAGGAAGTAGTACGCGTTTCGTACAAGGTTAAGGCATTGTATCGTGTTGTATGTTCATTTATCAGAACAGTGGAAGTTTGTAATTATTCTATTTGCTAAACACGGATAGTACGTCAAATTATAATGTAAATATAGGAAACATGTAATTTAACTAATCATCATCATCATCATGTCCTTAGTGCAGTAACATATTGCAAAAAGGTCTCTGAACTAAAGGGAATTTAGTTATTTTTTTACTCCAAAGAATTCGTTTAAAAACTGCCATCAATGAACCCGTATGTATACTACTTTTAACTATTTAGACGATCTGTCGAATTCTCTCTGGCAGTAGAGTCACCATTCTCGTATGAGATGGCCACTTTTGTTTAAGCAATCAACTTAATGACAATTATTATTCCAAAAGATATAACAATACACGTAGCTCTAAATTTTTTGGGATTACCCAAACCGCATTCGATACAATTTAACCTTTGTACATCCCGGATTTGAGACAATGAATAATCGACATTAATTGTTATCGTTTACCTGTTACGGTGCAGCATCGGTTAGTCTTAATCGATTACATCAATCTCGGTAATCGTGTCATAATAATTCTCGTAAATAACCGAGTCCGACTTTCACTTTATCTTGCGACATTATATTTAGCGCGTGCGCATGAAATAGATAGGGATGTTGATTTCCTCTGAACGCAAAAGGTTAACAGGTATTTGTTTTTTTTTTATGTAGAACAGGGCAGGTTTTGACCGCTATCGCACCAGATGTAAACTGAGACGCGATCTAGGGTAGTAAATACTTTATTTATTCAAGATGAAAAGCAAAGGACAGTTAATTAAGCACACAATTTTGATAACTTAATAAACGAGTATCAAGAAAGTTGTTTGTTTATTTACGTTAAACTCAATAGAAAACAAATCAACGTCGAAGGGAGCAATACCTTCTGCTAAATTGCTTTTAGGCATAACAACAACACTTTTTATTTGTGTTCAGTTTAATAATTCTTTACTTATATTGAATTAAATTATTTAAGAAAGTCGAAGATTTGTAATTATATTGACAGTCTTTGCTTTTTTCTGTATTTTCCCACATTGTGTTTTTTTGTATATTTATGTAAATAATGTAGAGTTTACATAAAACTAAATAAAACATTATGCTATATTATTAAATACTGAAATTTCCTGTCAGGCGTAATTGCAAGACTTTAACATTTTGGCCGGTGTTTACACTGATTACTGAATTAAAACGGTTAATTTTCCATGGTGGGACATATGATTTAGTTTGACTATGAGCCGGTGCAATTCAATCAAAACATACCGTACTATAGTAAAGTCATTAATTCCATTTAGATTATGAAGGACATGTGTTCAAAACTAAGTAGTACTAGATAATTGGATCCTAAGCGCTTTAATTGACACACGTCAACGTCAATGCTCGATTTTAATTACCACAAACCAAATTGGAGCATAACAAAGGCTGATTTAGTATGCTCAATGCTCATATTACTCGCAATCAAATTAAGTCCTAAGTGGTTAATATTCCCATGATATTCTGTAGAGTCAATTTTAACTAAAATCTATAGGATAAGCCACAACAACATTTAGTTGCATGTTAATTGTTATTATAAAGTTAATCTGATAGTCCAGTCAATAAAGCATTATAGATGGAAATCCGTGGAACACTTTCTGACTTCGGGACTTTATTTAGGCTAGTTAGGAGATGAACATAGTAAAAGTCCCCGCCCTTATCCCTTGAGCCGGCGGCGTGAGGGGGGTTTAAAGGTACCACTTTTCGGTTTTTCGCTTAATCCTCGGAAACTATGCGTCCTAGTGACATGACTACTATGAACCAAAAAAAGCTTATTCAATTTGCTACAGGTGAGATAGTCAAGTTTTTCTATAATCTTGTATAGTTTTTGCGGCATCTGCTCTAGAAGGCCTGTAATATTGGAAATTTTATTTTTGTCTTACATGTTCCCATCAGGAGAAAATCGACTAAATCAACATTGAGCAAATATTTTAGACATGCGAAAGC